GGGGGGAGGGGGAAGGAAAAGCCGCTGGGACAAGCAGCGGGAGGAGCGGGAGGAGGAACGGGAGAGCAGGAGGAGCGGGAGAAGGAGCGGGAGAAGGAGTGGCAGGAGGATCGGGAGAAGCAACCGGAGGAGCGGGAGAAGCAGCGGGAGGAGAAGGGCGAGGAGCGGGGGAAGGAGGAGCGGGGGGAGGTCGAGCGAGAGGAGCGGAAGGAGGAGCAGGAGAAGAACCGGCGGGAAACGGGGAGAGGGACTTAACGAGCACGCAGGATGCAGGTTGGAAAAGCGGAAAGGGGGAAGGGAGGACAGGGGTGGGGCAGAGGAGGGGTGGAAGGGGACACTCTCTCTCTCTCTCTCTCACTCACTCACACACACACACACACACACACACACACACACACACACACACACACACACCTGTCGGCGGGTGGCGAGTTGGGGCAATGCGGGCGGGAGGAAGCAGAGGGGGAAGAGAGGGACGGGGAGGGCTGAGAGGGCGGAAGGCCAGCCGGTCGGGTTCACACTTTTTCGCCCGCCTCCCGCTTCCTCTCCCCCTCCTCTACCACCTTCTCCTTGCCCTCTTTCCCCCTGCCCCCTTCCCCATTGCCGCAGCGTCGCTGCGGTGGGTCCACTTGGCTTTTTTTATAACAGGTCGTGGCTCCTTATCCATTCTGGGGAGCATCAGTCTGGTTTCTATTCCACCGGCAAGTCAAGAAAGCCATGATGCCAGTTATAAGAAAGGCAAAGGGTCATTTTGAGAAAAATAGACACAAATACATAGAATGCAGACCATACTAATAAACTGACAAAAAAAAAAAAAAAAAAAAAAAAAACGAGAAGAAAAATTTTAAAACATATAAAACAGCAAGGCAAAAGTGGGGTTCCCCCGTTAACCACTTGTAGGTTCTCCAACATGAGAGCAAAACGGTACGAATGAAGGGTGCTCGAAAAAAAAAGAAAAAAAAGAAAAGAAAAGAAAAGAAAGAAAAGAAAAGAATGAAGGGTGCTCAGAGGGCTTGCGAACCTAAGGGGGTGGGGATCTGCGGCTCAAGGCCTCGGCGAGCCAAGAGAGGCCTCCCATGAAAATGATGTCAGGCCACCCTCAGCAAAGGCACGGCTGAGGAGAAGAAGACCGCCCAAAGTGAAGGCAGAGCCAGAGGGGTAGTCAGCCTGGGGCAGGCGCCAGCCCCCCCCGTAACTAATCGGTGCGCCAAGCCTCCGGTTGGTTACAGAAGCTGGGACGGGGACTTAGACCAGCAGGCAGCAGGAACTGCCGGCTGCGTATTGCAGCCCTGCCCTCCGGAAGAGACAAAAGTAGGGGAGCTGCCGAGGAGAACACATTTGGGCACTGCCTGCTAGCAATAGCTCTGCTCGAGCGCATTGCGCCCAGGGTTGCAAGGAGAGCAGCCGCGTACAGCTGCTTTCCCAGCAGCTGGCAGCCCTGATCAGGAAGAAGGGGTGGTGCTGGATTGGTTGAAGAGACGGGGGAGAAAGGGCAGGAGTGGGAAAACTGGTGGTACTTACCTGCTGATGGCCGTGGAGCACTCACATCGTCAAGACTCTTCAGCATCATCTGGCGAGAAGGTTGTGTGGACAGGGCAAGTGTGAGAGAGAAAATAACCCTAGTTTTACATCAGTAGAGTGCGAAAGTAGCGTCCTTCGGGACATCCGTTAAAATTGGAACAATACGGAGAAGGGTAATTAATTAGCATGGCCCCTGCGGAAGGATGACACCACGCATAAATCGAGAAATGGTCCAATTTTTTTATTTTTTTTTGAAGCGTGGGAAAGTATTATAGGCTGACCGATCATAGTAGGGCTGCTACTTTGTTATTGTATTGATTATTGGAGGCGAGAAGTAAGTGGGGTGTCTTTGTGAAGAGACTCCAGTGTTCAGTGTTCAGTGTGTAGTACTGTGTAGTACTGTGTGGTCCTGCGCTGTGCTTGTGGCTTTTTTTTGTAATTCTGTTTTCAACTCAGCGTGTACTCATGCGTGGTCTTCTACGAGTTTTTGGCATTTTTGCATCTCGGAAGTTTTACATTCGGATTGAGTGGTTCCTTGCACAATGCAGACATGAAGAAATCTCAGATCTGAGATTACTCAATTTGTTTTTTTTTCCCACTATTATTAAAGAACTTCAAAGAAGTTATATCATGTTTTTTTTTTTAAGTTTCTAATACTTTTTATTTTGTTTTCTCCTTAACAATTTGATGTCGATTCTATTCCGCAGGCATGTGAAGTGGCGCGAAAAGGTTTGGATCGAAACATGCGACGTAGTAGGGCCATGCGCGACAGGTTGCTAGAGAAATTGGAGGACGCTTTGCCCGGTCTTCGATGTCGAGGAGATGACATCGAACTCTCTAGGATCGACTTCAGAGTTAACGGCCCTGCAGATCCGGAGAAACAGCTTCCAAACACGCTAAGGTAAATTTCTTTTTTCTTCGGACCATTTCCCGATTTACGCATGCCATCCTTGCACAGAGGCCATGCTTTTTATTCCTTTTTGTGCAACTTTTTTTTTTTTTTTTTTTTTTTTTTTGGGTATGGGTTGTTTTTGTTTTTTTTTTTTTTTTTTTTTTTTTTTTTTTTTTTTTTTTTTTTTTTTTTTTTTTTTTTTTTTTTTTTTTTTTTTTTTTTTTTTTTTTGGGTATCCTGTGCTTATTAAGTCCTCGTTTCATTCGAAGCTCAATATTTCTCCTGGCGCACCGCCTGTTCTCCTATCTATGGGCCTATGGGACTCCAGCTTAGCACTCAGGACATCCGTCCTGCATCTAGTAGTAGTAACGTGTCATGGTGGGCCCTATAGCCCAACCCACCACCCACGATTCAGGATAGTACAAGGACGGTCCCGCCCTCCATGGCAATGCCACCACAGAGTGGTGGTCCCCGCTGCCATCATTTACCTATATTTGCGGTGACCCTCCACAGGCACGAGCACTGGGCAGACAGACCCATCTCTCGTCAAAGCATTTTTGAAAGAGCCATTGATAACTTGATACGCTCACCGCCCTCCATGGGGATGCCGTCACAGAGTGATGCTCCCCGCTGCCATCATCAACCCATCTTGGCCGACGACCCTCATGGACTGTAGTCACAGGCACCAGCGCCGCGCAGGCAGACCCAGCCCTCGTTGAATCAATCATCAAACAAGCAATATTTTTTAAACCACCAGTACTTCCTGAATTCGCTCCGCGTATACGGCCATCCAAAAGTGGAAACCGCGACGTTTCCACTTGGCTGAATCAGGCCTACCGGCCCAGGCCCATTCATTCCAAATTTTGCTCCGCATATACGGGAGCGTTTTCAGGAAGAACTGGTGGTTTAAACAACTACGGCCGCGGGGGGGGGGTTGAGTTTCAAAGTTCAAATTGGCCAAAAATAACACTAACTGCAGTTTTGTCGCGGCAGCAGTTTGGAAGTGGCAGAATTTTTGAAAAACTTCAAAAAAAGAGATAGTATTATAGTAGGGCTGATTGGTTGATTGCGGAAAACATTCAGTTACATGACTTGGGGCCTCGCCACACCACTCTCGAAATGTGAAAACGACAAAATTGTGGCGGGTGCATCTGTCCACGTTCTAGCGGGAAGTTCATTCCCATTTTGCACATTTCGAGAGTGGTGTGGCGATGCCCTTGGATGGAGCAATCCCAAGGGAAGTCCTGTGTTGATTTGATAAATATTGTTTTTTTAACTTTTTTAACTTTTTTTTTTTTTTTTTTGCCGATCTGGAACTCAGGCCCTCTGCACACCCGCAAGGGATGCCCTTGCCGTTATGACAGCCGTGCTTGTTATAAACTACTACTGCCGCACTGCGGTTAGTTTGTTTAGGGGAAACTACGTGGGAGTCGCAAAAATGAGTTATGGGCCAACATACAGTTTTAAATTGCACTTCGGGCAACGTATACAACCCGGCTTTCTGGCCAGGTACGGCGCCCGAAGTGCAATTGCAAACTGTATCTTGCCCCACCATAGTGCACTTATAATTTATAAGTTATAACTCGTTTTTGTAACTCTACTGAAGTTAGCACTGTCTTTTTTGTTATAGCGGTTTCAAACTCTGCGTACGACTGAGAAGCCAGTACCACATGCTCATTTTATTTGCCTATTCGAAACTCGTTTTTTCGTTGGAGACGTAGTTTGCTGAACTTTGCTCAAATATTGTATTGTGTTCGTCTGGTTGCATCTGTGTTTGGAACTTGGGTCTGTATTTCAAAACCCGTACATGTATCGATGAAGGGTTTTTTTTTTTTTTTTTTTTTTTTTTTTTTTTTTTTTTTTTTTTTTTTTTTTTTTTTTTTTTTTTTTTTTTTTTTTTTTTTGTATCAACAAAGTTATAGGCCCTCGTTGGCTATGTCTTTTTTACTGTCATTTACAAAAATTGAAATACCGGTCCGCAGCCATGCCACACCCTGTCAGTGACAGGCGTGCCACACACCGGCCGCACCTTTCACACCTGTCAGTGGTGTCACACAACCAGCTAGGTTTAGCTTAAATTGGGGGACATCTCTTTTTGCGTGGCTGTGTGCCACGCTGTTGGGACCTTGCCCCAGTGGACGAACGCTTTTCTTTTCGTTTTCAGAGAAGGACAGCTTATTTAAAGTATTTTAGTAAATTTTTACTATTTTCTTAAAAAACTGTTTTTCTGAGTTGTCTTTTTTTTTTTTTTTTTTTTGGGTTAAATAGACAAGGTTATTTTGCCACCTATCACCTCTTTTTTTTTTTTTTTTTTTTTTGCAGATGGGTGCTGCTAAAGGTGGTGATACGGCCCCCCACCGCTAGCAGCCAGCCCGTCCGCTGGCTCCAGTCTATTGCTGGGGAGCAACACCTGCTGGAAACCGGGTCCGCACTCAGAGTTTCTTTCACATCACCATCATATACTTCTCTTCCCCTCCCTTTTTTTTCCTGGTTAGGGGGCTAGTTGCACCACTAGCCATCCGCCAAGTTTTTGAATGCATCTGGACAAAAAGAATGTCCAGATGCATTCTAAATATTGGCAGATGATGACTGGTGCAACTAGGCCCTATACCACCAGGACCTCCAAGCCTCTTTTCCGGTGGCAGATTTTTCACTGCACACCGCGCTCAAAACAAAATGGTGAGACAAATTTGAAATTTGGTTGGCACACTTTCCTTTCTTCCTCTTTTACTTGTCTGTGAGGCCGAGCCCCCCAACCATCTGGTGGTAGACAAATTTGAAATTTGTCACAAAAGTTTGCCTGTGAAAGGTAGTGGTGGTTTAACCACACACACAGAGAGAGAGAGAGAGAGAGAGAGAGAGAGAGACAGAGAGAGAGAGAGATGTTTGGCTCTGTAGTATACCAGATGCTGACATCAAAGATTTCACCCCACCTTTTGCGGCTGTTGATTTCTTTCGAATCTGCCAGGTGCTGACATGAGAAGTTTCACTGACTTTGTGATCCACATGATGTCTGTGCTTTGCAGTGTTTCTTTTAAGGGAGTGGATGGTGTGAAATTGATGGCAGCGATCAGCCCTTTTGTCGCCTGCAGCTCAGGCTCAGCCTGTCATGCAGGGCATGTGGCAGTCTCTCCAGTGCTGGCGGCAATGGGAGTGCCTGCAGAGTATGCGCAGTGCACACTGAGACTTTCAATGGGGCGTGAAACAACGCGCACAGATGTTGACACAGCAGCGGAAGTCATAATGTCACACATCAAGAGCCTTTTTCCTTCAGGTGTAACATGCACTTGAGACATACGCAAAGCTAAAGCCCTTTGTCTTCATGAAACAGATTGGCAGTCCTTGAGCAGAGAGAGAGAGAGAGAGAGAGAGAGAGAGAGAGAGAGAGAGAGAGAGAGAGAGAGAGAGAGGGCATGCGATATGGGTTTTTGCGAACAAACTGTTCTGCACGGATGTTTCTTAGAAAGGAATTCATCTTGTTTAAATGCCCCGAGCTGGTTGCACCGTGAGAGAGAGAGAGAGATGGTGTGTGTGTGTGTGTGTGTGTGTGTGTGTGTGTGTGTGTGTGTGAGAGAGNGTGTGTGTGTGTGTGTGTGTGTGTGTGAGAGAGAGAGAGAGAGAGAGAGAGAGAGAGAGAGAGAGAGAGAGAGAGAGAGAGAGAGAGAGAGCATGCGATTTGGGTACTTGCAAACAAACTGTTCTGCACGGATGTTTCTTAGAAAGGAATTCATCGTGTTTAAATGCCCCAAGCCGGCTGCACCGTGAGAGAGAGAGATGGTGTGTGTGTGTGTGTGTGTGTGTGTGTGTGTGTGTGTGTGTGTGTGTGTGTGTGAGAGAGAGAGAGAGAGAGAGAGAGAGAGAGAGGGCATGAGATTTGGGTTTTTGAGAAAAAACTGTACAGCTCATGTGTTTCTTAGGAAGGAATTCAGCTTGTTCACATTCCCTTGTGTGCTGACATTGCCTGCACCACCTGCCCCATGGGTGGCAAGCTAGCTTGTTATATAAAGAGTTAAATTAACTTCTATACTAAATTTATAGTAATTTAGACATGCCCAGCTGTTTTCCAGAAACAAACACTAGAATTTTCAAAAACTTTTCCCTGATTCAGCAGAGCCTACCATACATCCTCATCGGTTTTTCGGAAATTTTCATCGAGGGAACCAGACCCCCTGACGGTTTCTTATATTCTTTTTTTTTTCCCTTATATTCTTACGAGCGGTATAGCCAGTAAAGCAGAAAGTTTTTGAAAAAGAATAAAAAAGATGCAAAAACCAGTATTAAACCACCACTACCTTTCCCAGGCAAACGCAAAGTCCATCTAGTAGCCTACTCCTGAAAACACGGGGCTCAGGGCAGGGTTGGAGGCGGACGAAAAAAAAAAGAGAAAAAAGAAGACAAAAAAAGAAAGAAAACTAAGAGTCCCCACTCCAGGGATGTCGGGAAAGGCCCTCACGAGGGTGGAAGTTATACCAGTGCTTGGACGAATGTATTGCAGGTCGTTTTTCTTTTTCTTTTTGTTTTGAAATCCTTGTAGTGCCCTGCCAGCCAGGCAGGGCATGTTTCACGGGTGGCACGTAACTGTCTCACTGCTGTAGCATCATGTATCTGCTCTCAATCACAGGAAAAACTTTTTTTTTTGTTGCTTCTCTGTTTTTTTCCCGTACACGCCCTCACTGAGGGCACAGTCACACAAGCACCTCATAGAATGTATCTGGTGGTTATCAAGGCGTTCGAGAAGTCTCTTTTTTCTTTTTCTTTTTCTTTTTTTTTCCCTTCTTCTTTCTTCGATGAAACTGCCCCGGCTCGGCCAAACTCGGTGCGCAGTGAAAATCAGGGTCGGCAAAAACAGGTCCGGAGATAGTGGTGGTTTAAAAAAAAGTTAAAAAAAAAACATCAAAATAATAAAAATGATAATATTTGCTGCCAGAACTCATTTTGCCATCTTAGAATTGTTTCCTCAACTACTGATTCTTTAGAAAACTTAAGACTGACAATTTTATTTTATTTTTATTTTTTTTGGACCATTTCTGGATTTATGTGTGTCATCCTTGATTGCGCCTGGGGGGCCATGGTAATCTTCTTTCTCTGTATCGTTCGAGTTGTAACGGATGTCCCGAAGGACAAGACTGACAAATTTAACAAAGGTGTTTTTTTTGAATTTTTTTCAAGTTTTCTGAAGTTTTTTCTATTTTCAGTTTTGGCCATTTTGGGACTCTTTGTGATGGAATAATGGAATTTACTACAATTTAGTATTTTAGTATTTACACCACATTTGGAAAATGAGCAAAGCAAATAAAGTACACTTCAAAGTGGCTTTGTGTACTAAACAGGACGCGAAAATCGAAGAACGAAAGCAGAAGGTCATGCAGAAATGGCTGGCTTCGGCAAATCACAATCATGGCCAATGGGCAATTTCCACATGCATACACAAAGTACATACTGTCAAAGGACTCAAAGCAACGACGAAGTATTCAGTGAAACCCGTTTTGTTTAGTGTTTTGTCTAAAGCAGTTTCCGCATGGATATAGGTTTCAAGTTTCGAAATATTTCTTCCTGAAAAGATCACCACCAAATCTACGGAACTGATTCTTTTTTGAGTGTTTCCCAGACAATTGTAGGCGAGACAAATCGTCTAGGTCAGCGCTGAAATTTCGCACACCTCCTCCGCCGATCCTTTACAACCAGAGGCGCTGAAATTTTGCACACCTCCTCCGCCCTGCATCGCGGCTGTTGTCTCACCAATTGCAGATTTGATGGCGTCAGGGGGTACTGCGCAGAAGTTCGGGACTGGAAATTCTGCGCACCCCGGCAGTACCTTATTGCATCAAGTTGAGCCGAACCTTTGTGTGTTTGTCTGATCTCTCTCTCTCTCTCTCTCTCTCTCTCTCTCTCTCTCTCTCTCTCTCTCTCTCTCTCTCTCTCTCTCTCTCTCTCTCTCNTCTCTCTCTCTCTCTCTCTCTCTCTCTCTCTCTCTCTCTCTCTCTCTCTCTCTCTCTCTCTCTCTCTCTCTCTCTCTCTCCCCTTTGCTCTGTCTCTCTGTGCGGCATGGCATGTGGGGGCAGGGTAGGGCACTCTCAGGGCATACTCACACTGGGACCTATAATCCTAAATTCCTCAAAAAAGAGGTAGAGGGCCGGTCACACAGATTTACCAAAGTACCAAATGTACTATTGGTGTGCCCATTTGTAAGCGGCCTGGGAGGCCGCGACCGCAAAATCCCTTGTGCCGCCTCTGGAGCTGACCGCAAAATTGCGCAAATGCACTATTTGTTTTTTCAAATTTTCCTTGGAAAGTGGGCAAAAATCGTTTACAAGAGTTCTTCCGAGATTGTAAATTGTACGGTCCAGTTTTGTTTCCAGGATTGGCTTAGGATTTTCAGGATGCTGCGTGGACTGGTCACACGCGCGTGCGTGTGTTGTTGCCCTTTTGTTTTCTTGTCCTTTGCCTGCGGCTCCAGTTTTGTTTTGATGCGCACGGGCTCGTTTCTTTCCATATCGAGCCCGTGCCGCCCTTCTGCCCTTCCACAGCTGTTCATCCACCAGCCTCCGCTGCACCTCCGCTGTTCGTCCGCCCATCTCCGCTGTTCCCCGCGAGCTCCGCAGCTCCGCCGCCCACCTCCACAGCTCCTCCGCCCACCTCCCCACTTCCTCCCCTTTCCTCCGCAGTTTTCCCGCCCACGTTCGCAGTGCCTCCGCTCCACCTCCGCAGTTGTTCCCCGTGCCTTGGCTGTTCTTCCGCTCACCTCCCCCGTGCCTCTGTTGTTCCCCGTGCCCATCTTTCTATCGTGCAGCACTGCCCTCGAATGTATTTTGGCAATGTTAACGTCTGGATACATCGTCGTGGATGTGCTGTGGAAAAAGGGACACACCGTGGCTTCCACAAAATGCACAGTGCATGGCCGTGAAGATGGCGCGCTCTGTAGTTGTCAGTTCGACTCGGATATACATGGATGAAGGTGTGCTATGGAAAGTGGGCCTTCCTCACGACCTTGCTCTTCAACTTCAATGGAGACAGCCAAGAGAGTCGTGTGCCAACCTTCGCCCCCTCGTGTACACTATAATGGGCTGTTCCACCCAAGGGGAAGTATCGTGGTCCCTGTGCTCAGCGTCCCCCAGTGACTTTTCCAGTCGGGTACCGCCACTATGCTTCGCGTACCCCCGGTGATTTTTCCGGTTGTGGTGCAGGCAGTCTGCTTTATAGCGTGCGACGAAGACCTATACAGAAGGCCGAGCATGCTAACGATTCAGCCGTTGAGGAGTGGGGATGTGCTATTATAAATCCCCTTTTCTCCACAATGTCGCGACCTTACCCTATTAGCAATTATGAAGAGGTATGACCAGCACCATGCCCAAAACCACTAACGGGCCTTTCCCAAATCTGCATGTTTTGCGGATTTGGGATCGCAGTGTGAGTATGCCCTCACCATAGAAAGAAGTGGAAAAAGTCAAGGACTCTTTGTTCTATTTTCTTCTGTCAGTCAGTCAGTTTCTGTCTGTTTCCTAGTTTGGTTTCCTTGGCTGTTCCTCCTATGTTTGTGTCCTCACCTTTCTGTCTGTCTCTTATACACATCTAGATGTGTATAAGAGACAGGAGGTATGACCAGCACCATGCCCAAAACCACTAACGGGCCTTTCCCAAATCTGCATGTTTTGCGGATTTGGGATCGCAGTGTGAGTATGCCCTCACCATAGAAAGAAGTGGAAAAAGTCAAGGACTCTTTGTTCTATTTTCTTCTGTCAGTCAGTCAGTTTCTGTCTGTTTCCTAGTTTGGTTTCCTTGGCTGTTCCTCCTATGTTTGTGTCCTCACCTTTCTGTGCATTATTGGTATCTTTTTCCTGTCTGCCTGTGTCCTCACTGATGTGCTCACATCCTTATCTCACTCTTTGTCTCAGTTTCTTACGGCTCACGGACTTTGTATAAATTGAAAAACAGTCCTGGTTTGGATTCCCAACAGCGGCTATCTGCCTTTATCGCTCGGTTTCTCTGTCTGTCTGTCTGTCTGTCTGTGCATTCCTGTCTGTGAGTCTGCCTCCTATTGACTAGTCTGCCCGTCTGCTTGTTGGATGGTGTGGTCGTCTGTTTGTGGGCGTGTGTATATATGGGAGGGGGGGTGGCTGATCTGTCCGTTTTCTGTCTGTGCATTCCTGTCTGCGAGCCTGCCTCCTATCGATGTCTGCCCGTCTGCTTGTTGGATGGTGTGGTCATCTGTTCGTGAGCGTGTGTATATATTGACTCGTCCCGCCATCTGCTTGTTGGCTGATTTGTCTTCTGTCTGTGCATCCCTTTCTGCGAGTCTGCTTCCTATTGACTCGTCCCGCCATCTGCTTGTTTGATGGTGTGGTCGTATGCCATTGACGGTGTGGTTCTCTGTAGTGGATCAGGGAAAGGGAATGTGGTAGGGACGGTACGAGGGTTGGTGGGGGCGGGGTCAGGACCGGTGAGAAGAACAGAAGAGGAGGGAAGAGGGGGGTGGAATTGGTGGTGGTGCCACGGTGGGGAACAGGGAGGGGGGGGGTGTCTGGGGCGGTGCGCATGGCGGAAGGGGATGGAGTTGGTGGTGGTGGAGACTGCGGAGGGAAAGGTGGCGTTTGCCGATCTTCGGTCTCCGGAGCCCTTTCCTCCTCACAGGGAGCGTGCCTTTTCGGTCTTTTTTTCCGTTTTTTGGGGGAGACAATGCTCCAATCTATTCGTGGTGGGCAACACGTGTTG